CGCAAAGCGCAGTGGAAAGCGTGCAGACCCATAAGATGCCCCGGGTTTTGTTTGCAAGTTCAATCTCTTTAACTTGCTAATCTTTTGCAACTAATTGCCAATATCTATAGTGTTAGCGCGAAGTCCCTAAGGCCTCGGGCAGAGTTCACGCTATTTGGTCTTCGCGATTTAGTCGCTACAGACAAATGTTACGAGTTCATTGCATGCCGATCTTCCTGCATTTCGGTTGTGATAGTTTTCCAACACGACTAATCGTGATAACTATCACAACCGAAATACAAGAAGATCGGCATCAATGAACACGTAACACTTGTGTTGTAGCGATTGAATCGCGACGATCAAATCGCGTTAACTCTGTCCGAGGCCTAGCGCGGTCAAGAAGATAATTCAACATTTGGAGACAAAAACTTCATTTTTTATTTTGAGAGTACAAGTACAAGAGTGCAGTTTCAGCTTCCTCTTTCTTGCTGCTTGCTCTGTTCGACCTTATTCATCAACATTTTTATTCTTGCTTTCACCATGATCATTTTGAGTTCTTAGGAGAGTGTGAATAATAAAAATATGAGTTTTCGACGTCCTTAGACCTTAAATTACCATTTTAACTGCGTCAGGGACTTCGCGCTAACAATACAGATATTGGAAATGGGTTGCAAAAGAGTATCAAGCAAAAGGAATCAAACTTGCAAACAAAACCCGGGGCTCATCCTATGAACTTTGCATCCAGCTTGACTTCTAGCTTCCTCTAGCTGGGCGACGAGTGTTTATGACGCGCAAACGGCGAAATCGATGGCCATAATTTCGTATAAAAGACCGATAAGCGGATACCGAAAGCGGATACATAATCAGTTCTCCATGGAGTGTTCAACGGTATACAGCTCGCTGAGACTGACCACTTCAAATTTTGACCATTTCCTTGTGAGTGATAGTTTGAAAGTACAGCCATCAAAAGCGAAAAATGGGAAAAGAAAGATTTTTGGATTCGAATCCCCACTTAGAGGTTCTTTAAAGCGGGATATTTGACCATGAGGGAAGTAAAGAAGGAGCATTGCTTTGTATTGAATTCCAAAAGAGGTAGTTGGTTTATTTTTGAAACAAAGTAATCATGTTCGAAAATGACCACTTCACTGAGGTGCTCAGCATTTGGAGACTTCACAATTAGCACAAACTTGGTCCAAACTTGAGTTATTTGACACGCCATATAGATATATTACTCATTATGCTTGGTAGGGTCCCTTCATCATGTTACGGTGTAGGTGTACGATGGCAATTTAAAATCTCATGTGCTGTATCTCCATAATGGGGTTACCTAAATACCGCTCACGAGTAACATGTTATCACCATCATCAGTATTACTTAATTACGACTCCCCTTGCCTTTGACACCTTATACAATCCCCCAGGTGGCGTGCCATACCCACGCTTGACCCTGGCCCTGCCCTTTCTTAAGGTGATCTCCGATGAGTATGTGCAGCTCTAAAATAGTCCAGCTAGTTTTGGGACAATGTCAAAGATTTCTTTCAACTGCTCATCTATATAACTTAAGAATCTTCCAAAAACGTTTCCAATCTTTAGCTCTCAGTACTTTATAAGTTTGAGTCCAGAAAATGTGCTGATTTAATATAGTAACCTACCATATTACTTCCAGTTTATCGATTTTATCGATTTTTCTGCAAAGTTTGAGCTACGGGGCTGGAATTTGGCACAGGGGGGTAATCGAGCATGCTGATCACCCCCACGGGGGTGATCGGCATGCTCGATTACCCCCCTGGGCCAAAGCCCCGTAGGTGAACTCTGCAAAAAAAATCCTCAGCCCCGTAGGTGAACTCTGCAAAAAAATCGATAAAAATCGATAAAATCAATATGGATCGATGACGAAAAGTGGCCTGTGACACCCGCCGGGGCCCGAAGCGTATGTGTGCCAAGTTTGGTCCGGATCGGTTCAGAAATGGAATTTTCTATTTGGAACATACGTACACACAGACATACATACATACATACAGACAGACAGACAGACAAACAGACATTCAGCTTTATATATAAGATTGGTAGTTTCTTTATAAAACATATGCTCTGCCAGATGCGAAGTGAAACATCCCGTAACAACACGTAAACTAGTTAATGAGTAGCAGCTGATGCAATCACGCCACAAAACTATATCAAAACCTAAGACAAACGAGAAAATGAATACCGAAAAAATGAAATTGAAAACGGATACCGCATACGCGGGCCTAAAAATTTGCGAAAATACTTTGAATGGCGCGAGGTCGCGACGCGGGAAAAACTGCATTCTATTTGTGGTATAACGTTAGGTCGCCAGACTACAGTGTCCCAAAAATTGTGCACACGTTCAGTTGCTAATTTTTTTCTTGCTTTAACGTCTTTTCCCATCTTTAAGTATCATTCTGTAAAACCAGCTTCAACTTATATCGCTGTTCATAGCTGTTAGATTGTGGTGAAAAGTTTCGGCATGTGTTAAATTGTCCCAAAACTAAACTCCTTTTTCAAATAATTCAAGCTGTTTTTGTTCTAGTAAACCTGGGATATCATTCGATGAAACAGATCAAGCTCTACAAAATAGCTACAAAAGATAGTCGCACTTCATGTAGAGGTTGCAGCCAAAAATCGAAAAAAAATTCTCTTCAAAAAAATGGATTCTTATGAGAAAGAATCCTAGGGCAGGGCCCGGCACGAGGTTGTCAAAAGGGGTTTTGAAAACGAATTCTCCTTTGACCCAAAATTTTTTTTACGAATTCCCCTTTGACCCAAAAACTGATCCCAGTGATTGCGCAGTGAACACTTTACCCAAAAAAGAAGTCTTATCAAAGAAAAAAACAATCTGTTCATAACCAAAAAACATGTAAGATCACATTAGAGATCTCTGGAGTGAGGTAATTTGATAATTTTAGAGATAATTTGCACCGACAGCTAGGGGGGGAAGCGCGGGGGGGGGGGGAGGGAGGGGCATATGCATTGTGAGCAAACGAATTCGTACCATTCATATGCTTGATTTTGAAACCCCCCCCCTCACCGTCAAATACTCGAGTTACACATACTCCTCACATTACCGTCTTCTCACTCCCTTAAGTACTCTACTAATCCTGCAAACATTCCCCTAACACTCCACTCATCATCCTCTGCCCCAACAAATCTATACTCTCACAGTACCTCTCAGGCTCACCCTCATCCTCAAATACTCCACTCCCACACCCACTCTTAGGCCTGGTCACAACAAGAACACGCTAAGGTCGCGACAGCTTAGAGTAAATCACGAACCTAGCGGGAGCCTCGCAAATCTCCGCACAATTGTACCTACTGGTGTACCGAAGCTTTGATCTGATGACTCCGAACCAGAAAGCAACAACCACTGCGCTATACGAACCCGGTTGTAGGCACTTACGATGTATGTGTCTTGCAAATGAAATCCTGCGATAAAGGCAAGTCCGCGCGATAACTAACAAGTATTAGGTTAGTTAAAAAACTTGGAATTGTGTTAAATGCAGATTCGGTACTCACACAACTAAATTTCAGATTTTCAAGCGATAGCACCGCCTTAGATAGCCGAATTCGAGCAATTAAAAACGGCTAAACTTCGACTTTCACGCGCAAATGTTTCGAATTTTCTTTTACTTCCCCCTCAAAACGACATCCAGCGTGTGAAAGCGCCACATCTGCTGAGCCCCGAGGACTTATCCGTAGACGGACTCGTCTGATGGGAGGACTTATCTGTGAGGCTTCAAGGTATTTAGCTTTGCATTACTGGATTTGCAAACCTCTTATGGTCTTGAGTGATCTTCAAACAACGACAGCTCGAGTGGCTTTTGATTTTCATCCCTTTTGTAGTAAAGAAATATCTGCTGCGCTTTTTGTCCGAAGACCTTTTGATGTCTGTTTTTTTTCTCAATGTCAGAAAATCCGATGCTTACTGGTTCGATCGCTCAACTTTTGAATCGAATCGGTGTCCACAGAGTGCGTTTCGTCTTTACGTTTTGAGCACTGAGCACATTATTTATTACTTATTATTCATATTATCTAAAATGTTCTATAAGAGAATATAGAAAGTAATTTACACTGCGCATTTGACTTTGTGCAAGGCGCTTATAGACGCAGATGAAACTTGCACACATGTGATACACGTCAACGATAAAAGGTATGAAGGGGTACTGCGGGATGGGGAGAGGAAATGTCAAAATGACACCTCAAAGGGTTTTACGTTTACACAAAAAACGCAGGTAGGAAGGAAAGTCTATATACCTAGAAATCTATAAAAAACAAACTGTTCTTATTCTTGCTAAGAAATCGATATATGTGTGAAGTAGTGGGCAAAATATACAGGGTGTCCCAAAATAATGTGCACACTGTTTGATTTTGAATAACTCTCCTATTATGAGGTCTTTCGAGAAGCGGTAAGCGCCCTTTTTTAGAGCTGGCTTCGACTTAGATTTGAATTTTAGAAGGAGTCACTCATCCCTCTTCATTACTGTAGGATTACGGTAGAAACTTCAGAGAGGGTTTTGGGCCATGAAAGGTCATATTTTGCCGCAGAAACGAATCAACAAATCAACTCTAATTGGCCTAGTGTAAACTTTTACACTAGGCCAATTAGAGTTGCTGATTCTAAGTGTAAAGTTCCCATCTTATTATGATGCTTCGCTGAAGAGTTATGCGAGGTAAGCAGTAGCGGCCATTTTCTCAATGTTCCTAAAAAGTGTGGTTACACCGTTTAGAAAGCTTCGCAATCTTGAGAATAGTTGAGTATGGAACTCAGCGTCCCTCAAAACCCTATCACACAAGTTTTACATCTTTTCGAAACATTTTGAAACGGCAGCTTTTTCCATAGTGACCCCATATGTTCCAAGTTTCTACCATAATCCTACAGTAATGAAGAGCGGTCGGTGATTCGCTCTATACCGTAAATCTAAGCTGAAGCCAGCTCTACTGAATGGCGCTTACCGCTTCTCGAAAGACCTCATAATAAGAGAGTTATCCAAAATCAAACAGTGTGCACATTATTTTGGGACACCCTGTATATCTAAGACAGAGGTCGAGTATGGATCAGATGTATATTGATTAAACAAGTTAATGCTAAGAGACCGTCAAATTCAATAATAATAGTATACACAAATAGAAAGATCGTTTGAGAGAAGTTCTTCTGATTCCATAGGAAAAAGGTGAAATAGGTGCGTATACTCTCCTAGGAAGTGGCGGCTTTCCTCAAGTGTCTAGAAATTAGGCGATTCAGAGGGCGTTGCCGACGTACGTAAAGCTTCGCTCTGCCCGTCTGAAAGTAACATGGACTCTCAAACCTGTCACTACGAAATAATCTGAAGGTGAAGACAAAACATACTTTTAGGGTGATCATTAGAAACGCGCATCGACTGAAACTGCCCTTTCAACGACATTACTGCACGAGTAGATGTACGTACAAAGCGTTCACCCTAAAGTTCAATGCACAAGTATCAACGGCGATTAAAGTTGTAACTACCATAAGTGTCTAGGTTCAAAAAGTGAACCAGCTACCGCTATTGGTCTACTGTTTTAGTAGAAAGTCTGAAGGTGCGGAATCGGCGATAACATTCAGTATAGTATACACCATTCATGACACGCAAGACTGAGCGCCGTTGCGTCCGGCCAGTGTAGTTCGCGCATTGAAGAGACAGCAGATGGTGAAAGGAACGAATGAGCGTTCGATCAGAGAGACGCCGATACGTCCGCAGTCTTTGCGTAATATGAATGCACATAGCTAATGGCTTCTTTCACCTGCTGACATTGTACATTATGAGCTTCAGCGCCAGAAAAGCTTCATTTTCCTTTCGCGGTCTCCCTGGATAATGAGCCAGAACCGGCAAGATCGCGTAAAAGAAGATGAGGCCGCAAAGACCACTTTATCATTCAACACTTGCACACCGCTAAGGTAACGCTGGTAACAGTGATACTGCAACCACATTTCAGCGAAAATTCATAACATGAAAACTTCCAAACAAATTCCCACCCACCGGAGTTGAAGGTCCCTGCGGCTGCATGTTAACTGAGTCCAACGGTGCCTTGGGTTCAGAATGCATCCCTCTGAGAATGAACCGAATGACGCGACGCGGTGAAATACTGCTAAAATTCGGTGGCTTTTTGAAATTATAAGCGAATTTGAATTATACTGTAAATCATGCACATCTGTTCGAATTTATGGTGCGCTTAAGCGTAAGAGTCTCCAAATTCAAAAGTTCCGTAGAAGTCAGATGAAGTCTATATTTTCAGTATCTCAACCAAAGTACAGACAAATGCAAAATTTTAGTACCAAATAGGAAGGACACAGCTTTGAAAAGCACTTAAATACTTTCTCTTCTACTAATCAAAAACAAACGAAATTCTCAACTTTACGCGAACAAACCTGTAGATCCGTAGACAAATTTTTTTTCGCTCTCTTTCGTTTCAACCTCATCAAATTCATCTCCGACATGGTCACCAAAATTACTAGCAGAATGTGCTAGGGAGATGACTGAGTGGCAACAGTATCGCTCATCCCTGAAACTTAATTTCATTGCATGAAAAAAGAGTATCGCTGATTTCTAAAGTTGGACTGAATGAAGTAAAAAATAAAGTGCGACGCAGATCTCAGAGACTATGATAATATGATGATAAGACAAGTAAGGGAAAATGAATTACATGCATGCAATCACATGCATGCAAAAGGTAGGAACAGAGTAAAAAGCAGCAAGTCAAGCTAGTAAGAGTCGAAATATCAAAGCCAATTGAGGGACCCAGCGACGCGTTATCGAATGGAGCGCGCTTTCCTCCTTAAAACGGCTGCTGAAGCTATTTTTGGCTCTAGAAATGAGGAGAAAAGGAGGTTTGCAATTAAAATTTGAATATATAAACTTTAGGTGTAGAGTAAATTCATGTAAAAATTTTGAAAAAATTATGTGAATTGAAGGTCTTGACAACCTCAGGTTGTCATTAGGTTGTCAAATGACAACCTAATTTGGAAATAAGTTGGGCACGCTCTTCATTCACATAAGTTTTTCATAATTTTTTCAGACTTTTTTACTTAGGCCTGTATGCACGTACATCCCCGCGGGTAGGGGAGGGGATCTGAGAGGGGAAGCTTCATATTTCGCTACTCTGTATATCTTTCGTCTTCCTTCTTTATCTGTGATATGAAGGTTCTCATACCCTAATACCTGCGCACAATGGATGCCAGGTTATTGCCGCACATTAGATTTTCACAATTTTGTGTGATCCCCTGGGGATCCCCAGGGGATCACCTCCCATTTTCAAAGTCATTTATCTTCCCACAAATTCACTGAAAATGTTCTAAATTTTTGCTGAGGGTATAATATGGTACTGCTAAAATGTTTATAGTAGAAATAAGGGAAATCTCAGGATATCGAAATTTTCGACGAACCGCTGCTCGCGAGCCAGGAATTATCGAAAAATTGATAATCTTTGAATTTCTTTTCTTCTGTCAAAAACATGCTTAGCAGTGCCGTAGTATATCCTCAGTACAACTTTACGGCATTTTCATGGAGTTTTCAGCAAGACAAATGATTTCGAATATGAGAAGTGATCCCCTAGGGAGCCCCAGAAGATTACTCAAAACTGGTGAAAATCTACTCATTTATGCCAGTAACCTGGCATCTGTTATGCGCAGGTATCAGGGTATGAGAACCTTCATATCACAGAAAAAGAAGGAAGAAGAAAGGTATGCAGAGTAACGAAATATGACGCTTCCCCTCTCAGATCCCCTCCCCTCCCCGCGGGGATGTACGTGCATACGGGCCTTAGTTCTACTGCGCATATACACCAAATCCAGCGCAATTTCTTCACCTCTGCGTTGCAAACGAGCCATTTTTCCATTTTTTTTTGGTAGCGGGAAATTTTTAGAAAAAAGTTTGCCACAACCCTCAGTCACATAACTTTTCAATGAAACTCCTAAGTTAACTCCTGCAGGATCGTGTCCACGTACGTACTAAGTTTCATACCATATCGTCATTTGAGCGTTGCAAACGAGCCATTTGAATTTACATTTTCATTTATTAATTTTGCAGAATTTTCGAAAAAAATGCTTATTACTCGTTCCGCTCACATAAGTTTTTCATAATGCTTCATGTTTTGTTCCCAGTAGCTAGCCTCTCTCCATTCACTTACAAAATTTGGTGCCATGTCGTTACATACATTGAGGACTACTCATGTGTACTGTTACAAACTGCATCGTTTGAGCGACGTCGCGCGTGCGGCAATTAGCGACGGCGCGGTTTAACGCGCGCGAACTCCCGTGTTCGCCTGTTGAGGCACATAACATGTTAAGATACGCAAAGAGCATAAACTAACAATTTTTTCCGGGGCTCTGCTCCGGACCCCGCAAAACCCTTTCCCCTTTGCTTTTTTGCCGACAACGATTTCCAGCTTGTCATTTGACAACCTCGTGCCGGGAACTGTCTTAGGGACCTTCAACTTAATCATTACACAGTAGGCACATAGTAGTCTCAAATATGTACTAGATTTCATCCGTAGAAAGCGAAAAAAAGATATTTCAAAAATGGCAACTCCATCTTTCCTTCCCCCCCCCCCTCCCCCAGCTGCTCCCACGTATGCCATTGTATACTACAAGCCTTAATTAGTATGATTGTAAAACTTTACTCCTGTGTGTGCTTTTATATTTGAAAAATACCAAGTTTTACTTGAAAAAATTGAAAATATGCACATTTTGCCATTTTCACACCCTTTGTTTCTCAACTTTGAGCCCTGGAAAAAGTCCACCAAATACATTTTTGGATAATTATGTGTCAATTATACAGAAACCAAGTTCGAAGTCCATAGAAATTTTGGAAAGAGATCCGATTTTTAGGGTAGCTGAAGAAATTTAGTTTTTGGCCCCAAATTTTATCTGGATTACGACTTAAGTGTATCTTTGGTGGTGTTTTTGTAGAGCTTGCTTCGATCTATAGAAAAGGTACCCTAAGTCTGCTAGGAAAAAGAAAACAGCTCAATTCATTTGAAAATGGTACTTTTGAGACAACTTAATAGAATCACCGTGAAAAAAGCAGCTGCCAAAAGCTTCTTAAAAGCGTGGAATTTGCGTAGCAGGGCTTTCACGCTTGCTGATTTTACTACGCATTTTTGCGAGCTTTTGCGCTCTCAAGGAAATGATCACAAGTTGGAAAGACAATTGCTACATGAGAATATTATGCATTAATCAAGCCTTACAATGAAGTGCATTCCATATCTAAAATCTGCGAACCTTGATTAATTTAGTGTAAAATTCATTTGTTTCGTTTCTTTTCCGAGGCAGAATATGGTTGTCTATGTTCCAGAATACTTCTGGAAGTTCCAACCGTTATTCTGCACCAGCGATCGAAAATTCGCTCGTACAGTCTAAGAAGAAAACGGCCCCAACTTAAGGCGGCCATTTCGACTGAACCGCATATCGTTAGCTGCTCTTGATGAGCTTGTTTCAAGTCGCCTTCGCTATCTGCGATGCCATTCTCTGGAAAAAGTTATAAGCGTTCAAAGATCCAAATTTGACAAACATTCAGGGCCACATCCTTAAGAACTAATTGTTCAAAAACACTTATCTGCGTCTCTGGTAGATGTGAGCATCTCTTAAAATTAGTACCCTAAACATCTTGCTGGTCCTGCACTCCCAAGTTGGATCCTATAGCACATCATGCACCAGAGCTTCAGTGATTTCATAAATTCGAATGCCGTCATATGCGACAATCACTAAATTTTCAATGCATAATGAGCTTTAAAATCCAATTTGAAAGTGCAAGACTAGCACGATATTGAGTGTACCTATTTCAATGCATGCTCACAATCACCCGAAGAAACAGTAAGTGTTTTTGAACAACCTATTGAGGATGTTGTCTCTTACAAATGCCTAGGAATTGCATAGCAGAGAAATCAAGATTATTGTAATTTCTCTTGCACTCAGAAAACTATTTGTTTGCGTAGAGGACCATATGTCGCCGAAAGTGGGAGGGTTCCGCGCGGACAATGCAACAGATACTCAGCCTGCGCATGTGTTAAAAAGGTGTGTTTGTCGCAGATGTCCGGCGGGATCTCCCATTTCCGTAGACATATATTCCCCTACCCTCATTGTCTCTCTGTCAAGTTATGTCAAAGAAGTTTCGTCTGTTCGTCGTTTTCAAACGCTCGATGTACCTCTTACTTTCTCACAATATTTTTTTCCAGAGACTTTACGTCAGTTCGACAAGAATGAGAATTTTCAAACTTACCTTCTTGTTACTTACCATCTTAGTGGTAGGTTGACCAAACAGGACATGACTTAGTTTGGGATATTACTCCTTAGACTTGCTGACTGTACATTACTTTGATGCTTACAGATTCTCTCTGCTGTGGATGTTGGTGAATGCGGATTCTTCAGTTTTATCAAGAAGATTGGAAGCAAGATTTTGAAAGGGGCCAAATGGGTTGTAAAAAAAGGCATAAAAGTCGGAGAAATAGCCACAAAGTTCGCTCCAATTGTCGGTGCGGTATAGTTGCATGAGGACATTGATATTTCGTGCTCGGCTGTCGATAAATCTTGGCATTGTGATTCAAGTTGTAATACAGTCTTTAAGCTTCGAACAAAGTTTGTGGCAAAACTCTATTACGCCATAAGCCAACGTTTCGGCGGTACGTCCGATTTCCTCAGGGCTTCTTAAAAGATAGAGACTTTGAGAAATGCTTGCTCAAACGCCTTCTTTGGCAATAGATTCAGTTTAGCTATATGATGGAGTGGCAGAATAGATGTCGAAAACATGACTTCAGCCTTGAACTGAGATATAGAGACCGAACAACCAGACTGCGCTGCAGCTGCGCTATGAGCGAGTATGATAGTCAGCGTTAAGAATGCCCTTTACATGAATATAAATTATAAATTGTAAATTTACAATTTAGCAAAAATATATTGATCTAACAAATACGAGCATGTTTCTTGACCAAGTTAAGCACAGCTAAGAATAGGATGTGTCATCGAATTATTCGACGTCACTCTATTATATACAAACATATTGAACGAAGCGGCTATGGAAGCGGTTTACGAGATATGCGAAAGGATGCCTTAACTGCAGCATATTTCGATGGTGTGGGCAGTACTATAAGCAAATCAGGCGATTAGCGATGGGCCAAAGGCTGACACCAGTCGTCGCCATTGCCTATATGTCAAAAATCAAGAGCCCCGTACTTGCGCGCAAACCAATATTTTATTGCCGCTATATAGATGATTGTTGTATAGTGTGCGCGACACAAAACGAGCTAGACACTTGCTTCAATCTGCTAAACCAATCAATATAAACTTTACACGAGAGGAGCCCAGCGAAAACTGGCTGCCATTTCTCAACGTTCAAGTGCAGTTGCTTGATGAATCATAAAAGACCAAGTGGTTTCGAAAACCAAGTAGCAAAAATATATTGATACACTATCTCTCGGCCCACCCTTGGAGCACAAAAAGGTCGGTATAATCTATAATATGTTTAGGACTGCCAGGACAGTTTCTTCCGATCAAGAGCGCGCTACATCGCTGAGTCTTGCCAGACAGATTGCACAGTCCAATGCCAAAAACAAACCATTTATCGAAACGTACCTGGCAAGAATACAGACCGCGCACGAGCAAGAATAAAGCAAAAATACCTTTCTGTGTTCCTTTTTTATCTGAAGAATTCAGCAAAGCGATAAGAAAAAGCTTAGAACATGCAGGCCTGAAAGACTCCGTCAGAGTAGATATTCCGCCTCTTAGTCTTAGAAGACAACTAAATCGTAATCGCTCTCACGATCGACTATGCAAGAGTACTGATTGCGTCGTATGCCCATTTGGTCAACCAGGTGGCAGGAGTAGTTTATAAAATTACTTGTCAAACTTCCGGAAAGAAATACATAGGAGAAACTGGCAGGCCTCTTTGTGTGAGAATCCAAAAGCACCTAGATGGCCTTATAAAATTCATATCTCCCACACCCCACTAGGAGCACATCGCAGAGAGCATCACTCGGATCAACAATTTAATATAGTCGTCACAATCTTAAGGCGTAAACCCGAAGTAATTCCTCGTTAAACGCTAGAAGTATTTTGGATAACATCCAAAGCTCCTACAATGAACCGCAAGGAAGAGGGCTTTGTCAAGAATTGTTATCTAATTGAATATCAATTTTTTGCGGATTTGATCTACACTGAGGTTAGATTCATCTATATAAGGCACTTGTACTGTTCTCTACTACTGACTGTGCAGACGCTGTTTGGTGGTGGCTCAACCCCGATTAGAAGACTGCCAAGGTGAGAATGGGCGACGGTTTCCGTCATGGCTTTCGGCCTGACCTCATGCTGAATCTTGCCTTGGCTTGAACGAGGTGTTCGGGAGAAGAAAGCACAGATGTCTACGACCTTCCAGGCTCCGACGAAGGCGAAGGCACCCGAACCCTAACTGAATAAATCGCCTCACTAAATAAATCGTGTTGCAATCTTGGTGATTGGCTGGAGTAAACATATACGAATATCCATATCATGCCAAGAGTTATCAATAATCGAGCTTGGAGGCCCTCTACATAATTGTAGAAAATTTCGTATCAGAATCCGCATAGTGTTTAATAGGAGAGCGGTTCGCTATTTATGGCAATGCCTTCATGTTTGCGGTTCATTTTTGGTGGTTTAGACGCTATGCAAAAGGCCTCCAATGTTTTTCGGGCTGCTAACTCGAATTCGTGCGACAAGATCGTAACAGTGATTTGAAAATACTGGTTTTCGTGACATAACCTTCGACGTGCACCCAAAAGTGTGGACATTTTGGATTTTCTAAGGCCGTCACGATGCCCTGTGATTCTTGTGCACAAGAGTCTGCCGGTCTCTCCTGTCTCCTGTGCCTACAGGTATGCTTGGGGCACCTTTTGCGGGATAGTTGTTAGAAGATGCAATCTCTCTGGCGAGGTTCATTGATGGATTGCGCTGTTCAACGTTGGTTGAGATCGATTTTGCTTCTGAACATGTTGCCTATCACAAACCGTTTCATGCTCCAAGGCTACGCAAAGCTATAGTGAAAAAACATATTCTTACTAACTCGTTTGCGGGACCATTTAGTTACATATGATCCGTAAGATAAAAATCGTTTGGGAATGCTAGCCAATTTTCGTCGGGTTTATCCCGCATGACTCTTATGTTAGGGGATTGGTTATTCAGAATATCAAAGCATATACATCACAGCATATGCATCACATGTCCAACTCAAAGTCTTCACTTTGAGTTGGACATGTGATGCAGCAGTCGTCAATGTATCCATAAAAAAGCAAGGGCTTACGAGCAAGTACGGGTTTTTCGATTTTTGACATGAAGGCGATTCCGACGACGGAGCCAGTTTTTGCCCCATCGCTAGGCCACGTACCTGCTTGTAATACCTTTTTGAAGCGGAATATGCTGCAATTCCTTTTTCGAAAGTGTCATGATTTGCCCAACACTGAACCCATACATGTTGTGAGCAGATTGGTTTTCCGAGAATAGCTCATACACGGCTTCCTTAGCATCATCCTCGGAGACATATGTGTACAACAATACAAGGTCTTAATCGCACATTCTCCAATGACAAAAACATTCTTGTATTTGAAAGATGTGCAGGCACATACTTTAGTAAATGTGTTAGGATCAAGTCAAACAGCCATGAGATTCTATTATCCGGGCCATAGTAACTGCTTTTAATGGGTCTTACTTTGTTATGGACTATGTTAGTCTATGGACTTCCAGAGCAAAATTCTGGCGCAAGGAGTTTGTGTGCCTTTATTAGCATGTAAAGGGCTGGACATATGGGTAAATCGATTTTGAGATGGGATATCAAAGTTTTAGGTATGCCGATGGAGTTCTATATTTTACCCACACTCTGTTCGGAATAAGGCTTTGTTTTACAAAGCCTTGCTTGAAAGAAGCGCAATACAGAGTGCTATCGTCAAAATGGTGTTCAGTTATGGTCATATCTAAGCTACGCGTCATCACGACGGAATTCCCCTTCCTTATCTCGGTTTATATCTTACTTCCTTTCTAGTGCATGGATTATGAAGCTTACGGAAACCGCGACGTTAAATGAGAATAAGATTACTACGCTTTTTTACAAACTGTATTATAGTACGAAGATTAATCGATCGAAATGAACCAGACAGCAAAAATACCGTTTTGTGTTCCATTCGTATTTTGATGCAGAGCTATTTAGCAGAGCTATCAGAAATCTGTATTTCAAGTGGGCTTCAATGATTTCTTCAGAGTTATATATTTCCCTACTCTTAATTTCAAAAAGCTAAGCCGCGATCGAGCTATGACAGAATGTGCACGACCGCCGATTGTATCATCTGAGCTTTGGAAAACCAGGCGACTGCATGGAATTAGGAGTGGTATATTGAGCGCGCAGTTCTCAAAGTTTCGATCTTTCAGGAAACCCCGATGAAGGCGGACGGAACGCCAACGTTGGCTTATCGCGTAATAAAGTCCTGCTACCAATCTTGGTCGACAGCTTAAAGAATATTGTAGTATTACGACTGGGATATTGACAGTTTACCTTTGTGCACATCAGCTTACAAACAATGTCAGTTTCACAATCGGTAAAGCGGGAGGTGTGGCACGCCACACCGGGGGGTCGTAAGGGGGGTCGTATCGACTCAAAGTCAAAAGCGGTTTTTGAGTGGAAAAGCACTGTAACCAGGGTCAAGCGTGTGATGCGACTGTCGCAACGGGGGGTCGTAAAGGGGGCCTACGGTGGGGGGGGGGTCGTAAAAGGGGTAGTTTGGATAAAAAACCGTACGCTTGAAAGCAAATCAATTAGTAATAATTTACTATTTAATTATTACATGTTATTAATGAAATATAATAACATGTAATAGTTATTAATCAAATAGTAGTAATAACATCTAATAATTATTTTAAATAATTAATACATGTTCGTTACAATAATTCTTGAAGTGCTGAGTACCAATATATCAAATGAGAACGACTGAGCAACATGCAATGTAAAACATTTGCTTATGTAGAAACTCGCTTTATTTGCTGCATTTTTGAGAGAGTATGACTTGATTTGTTTTTATACTTAGGTTAGCTAGGTTTTTAACTCCTCTCGTCTGCAGTCATAGAGCGCAGTAAGGCCGCTTCAAGAAACTGGCGACAACAAAGTGTTTATCTCCAAAGATGTTGTCATGAAAGTTCGAGAAAATTGTCGTTGAGTTATTACGATGGACTTGTTTCGGCAACTGAGCCGATAGAAAAAATTGCTAGTTTGGCCTCCTCTTCGTTCTGAAGTCGAGTGCTGATTTCCTTGACGTCATGGCGAGTTCTCAGCCCGTGCATAGTCATGTAGTGTTCAGTATGTTTAGCAATCAAACCGTTGACATCCCCTTAAATCTCAAACATATGTAGCCGCAGGTAAATTGGAAGAAAAACATACCACTTGCAAGAGCTGTTTTTATCTCTTTCATGAGACTGCCTTCTCTTCCAAACGTAGAAGGTCGTCCTGGATGTAGATTTAGGCCTGGACGAGGATGCAGCCATTGCGCGGCTAGCTGTTGAATTTTGACAGTCAAAATGCTGGGACCATT